GAAGCAGGACCTTTAGGGAACCCCATATGGTTAGGAGCTTGGGTTTAAAGAAGGCTTGGGTGGCTTAGGCGTTTTGTTTTTGCGGGTTTGCGGCTTGCAGTTCAAGGGACGGTTTGCGGTGGTGGTTCGGGGTTTGGTGGTTGCTGTTTCTGCCTTCAAAGCCGTAGATGATCGTCTTCGGAGCGACTAGGGTTTAGAAAGGTGATTTGGGTTTACGGCTTACAGTTCAAGGGACGGTTTGGGTATGTAGAGCTTAATGAGCTCAAGAGTCCATGGTTCGATGTATAAAGGCTGACCAGGGTTGACGGGTATAAGGGTTAGGGTTGAGGGCGTAAGGTTTAGGGTTTGGGGCTTGCCATTTGTGGTTGGGTTCACGGTGTAGAGTGGCTCACGGCTTTTTCGTTTCGCGCTTTGGGCTTGACCGGTTTTCACTGGTTTGCAGCTTGTGGGTGTCAGATTCTACGGTGGTATTTAGGGGGGTTCAAGTGTTTACGGTTTAGGGTTCAAAAAAAGGCTTGTAGGGCTTGGGATGAAAGGGCATGGTTTGGGAGTTGCTGTTTTGGCTTTACGGCTAAAGCTTAGAGTGAGCTTCTTTAAACAGTCAGAACGTAAATTTTAGGGTTTGGGGCTCGCGGTCGGGGGTTGGGTTCGCAGTGTGTAGGGTTTCAGGTTTAGGGCCTTGTCGTTTCGTGCTTGAGGGTTTAAGGGTTTTCACTGGTTCGCAGCTTGGGCCAAGTGTCACGGTTTGCACCGTTACGGTTTAGGATTCAACTGTTTACGGTTTCGGGTTTCAGGCTTATAGGGCTTGGGGTGTAATGTAAGGGCATGGTTTGGGGTTCAACGATATGCGATTTAGGGTTCTTGGCATGCGTGGCTCCAGTTCTCGGCCAGCTGTTTTCCGTAGTGTTTCTGCCAGTGGGGTGGTCAATGTACCGCATCCTGCTGCGACCAGGTCTGACGTTCGAGTACGTGTGAGAGAGAGAGAGGATCATCATCTTTCGTGTCTAACTTGTTGTGATTCGCTTTCTTGAGGCCAGGTTGCCTTCTTGTCGCGTTGCTTCTACTCTCACCGCTGGCCCCGTAACATACGGGGGCGCTTGCTGCGCGCGGGCGAGGGGCAACCCTCGTCCGTAACCCTGGTGAAAGAAAGAGAGAGAGAGGGGGTTCAAGATTTAGGTGCCTCTTTGGCTTTACTTACAGCTAAAGCTTAGAGTGAGCTTCCGTAAAGTTGATTGTTGGGTGTAAGCTGTTGCGGTTTCGGTTTGAAGGGTTTAAGAGTTTCGGGTTTGAGCGTAAAAACTTCAGGTATTGGGCTTGCGGTTTGGGGCTGGGTTCAGGTTCAGGGCTTCAGGTTTCATTCATTCGTGTTGATCAGATGCATGCCTAGCAAATAAGGTCTTGAATTCGCACGCAAAGGGCTCTGTGCCACCAGAAATATTCGGTGGCCCCAATTAAATAAACAAAAAGGTGCGAAAGGAGGGCAACATGACCACTGCACAAGTCAGGGTTCCCTACTGCAACAATCCAACCCTTAACCGCAAAAAAACAAGGCCCCTTCCGCAAGCCAGCAAGAGCAAACCATTTTCATCAAATGGAGACAAGAAAGACGACACTCCTAAAGTAAAGCAACGCTGGCCCATAAACGACCACGCAGCCAGCAAGGTACCTACGTAAGCCAACAGGTGGAGCTAACCAACAGATTTCCCTGCAGTCAAGCTTTGAGCATTCCTCCAGAGGCTGGGGGAGGCAAGCACAAAGCTAACAGGCCCCACACTTGTATCTGTGCCCGCTCAGACATCGCCGGATGAGCAGTAACGTCGTATGCGGCGAAAATGGGGAGACGAAACGATGAGTTAGAGCTTAAGAGTGCATGGTTCCGGGTGTAAAGGTTTACGATCCTGGGCTGATGGGTTTAAGGGTTTTCGGTTAAGGGCGTAAAGTTTAGGGTTTGGGGCTTGCCATTTGTGGTTGGCTTCGGGGTTTGCGGCGTTACGGTTTAGGATTCAAGTCTTTACGGTTTAGGGTTTAGGGTTTATGGTTTGGAGGCACTTCAGAGAGACCTCGTTCAAAAGGGTTTATGGTTTGCAGGGCTTGGGATGAAAGAGCATGGCTTGGGGGTTCAGCGGTTTGCCATTTAAGGCTTAAATTTTTAGGTGCTGTTTTGGGTTTACGGCTAAAGCTTAGCGTGCGCTTCCTTAGAAGTTGACGCTCGGGTGAGTGGGGTGTAAACCATGGCGGTTTAGGATTGACGGGTTTAGGGGTTTCGGTTTAGAACGTGAAGTTTAGGGTTTGGGGGTTGCGGTTTTGGGCTGGGTTCAGGTTTGGGATCTGTCCGCTTGATTCAGGGTTACAGAGATTACAGATTGCGGATGTTGAGTGTCAGATTCTACAGTGGTACGGTTTACCATTCTAGTGTTTACGGCTCAGGGTCAGGGTTTGAGGTGTATAGAGCTTGGGATGTGAGGGCATGGTTGGGGGTTCAGTGGTTTGCAATTTAGGGCTGAAGTTTCAGTTTTTTGTTTAATTTGGGCTTGCTGCTACAGCTTAGAGTGAACTTCCTCAGAAGTTAACGGTTGGGTGTAACCTTTTGCGGTTTCGGTTTGAAAGGTTTTAGAGCGTGAAGTTTAGGGTTTTGGGGCCTTGCTGTTGGGGGCCGGGTTCAGGTTTAGCTAGGGCTTCAGGTCCAGGTTTAGGGACTGCAGCCCCCCCCCCCCCTCCAAAAAGGTCCAAGGTTTAGGATGTTTTTCCGCTTCTTGCGATTCAGGCTGAGCTCAACTTTAGTGAGGTGTAAGGCGTAGGACTGTTTCGTTTGCTTTCTTAGTTTTGCGGTTTAGGGTTGAGGTGTTTGCGCCTGGGGTTTAAGGTCTTAAAGGCTTGTGATGTGACTTTTGATGTTTCTTTTGTCGTTTGTTGCGGTTTAGGGTTCAAGGTATGTTTCTTGTAGGGTTTATGCTTATGGAATTTACGGATTGACAATTTGGGATTAAAGGGTTCACGAACCTGGGTTTAAGCGTTCATGGTTTAGCGTTAAAGGTTTAGAGTTTGGAGTTTAGGGGTGTCACTACGGGATTTACTGGTTTGCGGCTCACATTAAGGGCGGCAAACCTGGATCATTTCAAAAGGAGCAAAACTCTTTTGTTTTTAAAGATGGTCGCTCCCTCCTAACACAACGAGCACTGGGTTGGAGGTTCAGGATATATTAGCTCACGGTTTCCAGTTTACTTGTACGGGTCAACAATTGAGGGTTAAGGAGTCACGGTTTCTGGTTGGAGGTTTTAGTGTTTCAGGTTGAGGGTTCTCGCGGTGTCGACCAGATGACCTACGAACACCAAATACTAGGTCTGCTTTCGGAAAACCTAGCAAACCAGGAAATGTACCCGACGTGTGCCTCTAAACACGACAGGCAGGTAACCAGCCAACAAAAGACAACGGACAAGAAACGAACAAGGACCTCTATAAAACTCCACCCTTTCAGGGTTTAGAGCTTAGGGTCGTCAGCCGCTCCCATGCAAAGCGCAAGAGCCGGCCGTGGGTGAGAGAAAGACATAAGAAAATTCGGTGTTTCCCAGCCAAGGAACTATAGGTGTAATTTAACAGATGATGGAAATCTCGGCCACGCAAAGCGCACATTCAAAATGGAACAAAAGAGGACATTGACAATTCACAAATATGTAGAAGATAAGAATATTAGGAAAGATTGGTGGCAATGAGATTGTTTGCAAGTTGTTGAATCCTGGAAGCTCTACTGTAGAAAGGAAGTAGAGATTAACTAGTTAGATGTAACGTAACACATTTATTTGGTTGAAGTTGGGTCTTTTGGGTTCACTTTTTACTTTGAATTGGTACATGTTTGGTTTTTCATATTTACCTTAATTTGTAGCGCCACTATGCCGTCGGCGAGACCTTAAGTCGTCAAGTCATTGCGATTTTCGCCCGATGAAAAGTCTGCTTGCAAAACCGCGCAAAAGCCAATTATCACCCGGATACTATCTACCTGTTTGATATTTGGGGAGCCGCTTAAGAGACTGAGATATCCGAAATTAGAGAGATTCAAACTTGGCTTCCGCTCCCCTCCCGTCATATCCCCTCCCCACCCGTCCCCACCCTTCCCCTGTGATGTGTGTGTGTGTGATGATAATCGTGGGTGTTCTTGTTTCGAGTTGCACGTCTAGAGGCTAGACAAATTCATAAGCCCTCCTATCTGCAAGCGGACATGAGGTGGCCTACCACTTTTCGGCCCTTGCGGGAAGACGTGGAGCCGGACTGTCGCTGCTGGGTGGGCGAGGAGTTGCAATGCTGGCTGATTGTCCGTGACCCAGAGGTCAAGTCTTTCCGCGGAAGCATGAGTGGTCTCTTCCGGTCGGTCTTTGTGGAGTAGAGGTCAACATCTCCCATGTGGGAGCGGATCCTGTGCTCGAGCAGGAAACAGAAATCCGTGTCGAGGCTTGCAAACTATCGAGATTCCGAAGCATGGCAGCTCTCTCTAGCTTTCGCAGTGCCTGGGGCCATGGTATCCGAGGTTTCACGATGTCCGTGATCAACTCGGCAGTGCCAAAAGACTCTATCAGGCTTGCCTTCTTTTGCTTGTTGGCGCAATGTCGCCTGCAGAGCTCTTACAGGAGCTGGTGGAACATGGTACACTGGGCAGCCCAGGATAGAAGGCTCCTCCGTCTCGTCATCCCGTAATGTGCACTTCGTGTCTGCCTTTTTGCTGCCAGGCTCCTGTCCGCAGGTTCTGTGCCTGGTTGGCCAGTGTACGGGCTGCTGAACAATGTGACGGCCATCATTGGGGGTTGGAGGTACGAAGTGCCCATTCCTTGAAACCTTGTTGCCTGCGTGTTGTTCGCACTCGCAGTTGGAATCCTGCTTTCGCAGGCAGCGTGCTGGATCCATTAGCGACATCTCGATCACCTTCATTCCCACAGTGTGGGGGAGCACGATGGAAATCAACTTCTACATTCCGCAGGGGTTCAACTTCGAAAATGTGAGGCAGGGCTGTTGCGTGTAGCATGGCGAAAAGCATGACAAGTGCCAAGTTCAGGCCGGGAGCTCCGCTGCTACGCGACGAGCGCACGCAGGCTCGTCGATTTTCGTGCCGAAGTGCTGCACAAAGGCTTGTGCGGAATTTAATGTGCAGATCTCAGCAGAGAGGTAGGCAGGAGGTGGGCGGCAGGAGTTTTCTTCCAATCAAGCACAAACAGACACCAAAATGCCCAGTAAATGTTGAACCACCTGTTGATGATTATGCACACGTCATGTTGCACTTCTCAAGTTATCGGGAGCCCTCAACATGACGAGGATCACCTTTGAAGGCAGGAGGGGGTAGGCAACACGATCGTGGGATCGGGAGGCGCTTGGGAGTTGCTTCGAGTGCTTCGCTACTGCAAAAAAGACAGTATGAGCTGATCTGGAAACCCCGGTCGTGCAGTCCCACCCTGGTCATCCGTGTCGAGAGCCTGTTCCTGCAACATCCTGCGAGCTGATGCTGTTGTGCAAAGGGCAGTCGCGTTGTCGTGACCAACGGCGACTTCCGCCCTTTTGAGAAGCACGAGATCTTCCTGGGTGAGGCGCAGCTCGGTCTCGGAGGCGGACCGACTCGGATCAGCATGGACCCCAGCCCAGTCAGGCAGGACAGTGGATATCATCGGTGAGTTGCCCAGGTCTCGACATGTACACGGATGCCATGATGACCACAGAAGTTGCAAGGAGACATTGCTTCTTTCAGATCGGTGTGCTTTTGCCAGGATCAGTTCACAGATGAACGTAGTTATCTGAGTCCCAGCTACTTTGTTTGGCAGGAGGATCAACTTCTTTCAGGGCTTTGTGCAGCCCGCAAGTGTGTCACTGCACACGCAGCTGCTTCAAAGCGAAACGGTCGTCAGGCATTACCAAGGTCAGTGCCTGTGTGGGGCACGTCCAAGCACTGCATAGCCCATGTAGCCATTGAGTCGTAGAGGGGAACACATGCCAAAGCAGGTGAGCTCTACGACTCCGCGGTACCGCTTCTTCCTCCCTTCGCGCTGCAGCTTTCGCGCATGGAGACTCGGAAGATTTTGTCAAGCCGCTCTTCTGGCGAACCCTCCATATGTAGGCCACAGGCTACAGTAGTGTCGGCAAGGAGTTCTTCGTCGTGCTTTCGCACTATGTTATGGCTGGCGATGTGTTGCTGATTCAGAGCCTCACATCAGCTGGCGGAGTCGCCCATGCCCCCTATCAGCATTGGGACCCCAAGATGGGTTGCCACTTGGAGATGTAGGAGAGATCAGTACCTTTGAAGGAGCCCATCAACGAGGAGGGCTATGAGCCGAGGATCGACCTTTGCAACGGCCCAGACGCAGGCGTGCGAAGCTGTTGCAGCTGAACCAGTGAAAGCAGCCTCCAGGGCCTAAGACTGAATGTCATTATGATTCAATTCAAAGACTCGCAACGGGCCACTGCTTAGATCGTGCATTGACTTCTTGCAATTCTTCGTGCGCGGGTTTGTGCAGGTGCAGACGACAAGGGGACTTGGAGTTGTGGTGACATCGTCGGTGTCAACTTCACTCAGACCCTTAGATTTTGGGTGGACGCGGCAGCTTGCAAAGCGCACGATTTGAATCTCAGGATGTCGCTTATTCGGGACACCTTCGACGTGCCTGTTGGGCTCCGAATGGTATTGCTTCCAATGGATCCGCGTTACGTCGTGGAGAGATCAGCCTTGGATGAGCCAGGGGCCCGAATCCTTGAGTCTCGAGTTGCCCTTTTTCGACTCCCCCACCTGGACCCAGGATAGCATCTCTCACCGATGGTCAGCGGTCAATGGCCCTGGAGGCCAACAGAAATTACCGGGTGCAGATTTGGCTACTGCCGTCCATGGCGGAGACCTGGTGGTCCATCTCCACCGAGGACATCACTGGGCTCCTTGGTAGAGTTCAGGCCCCTGTCCAAGAACCACCGCGATGGCTACGTGCCCGGACCAGAAGCCATATAAAAAACCTACGAAGCTGTGGAACTATGCCCAACTTCGGACCTGCCGAATCTGTGCAACCTTCGGAAGCCTTTGTGTGGATTGTCTGCAAGCCTAGGATTTCCGAGCCTAGGATTTCTGAGGGTTTTGTGACAATAGATGTTGTTCACCCTTCCTTGGTGCTCATCGGTTCTTATCATTGGACCACATGTGGCATTGTTCGAGCGAGAATTTGCTCGAATTTCGGCTTGAGGGGTCAATAAGTTCAATAAGTCCAATATGTATCCGGTTTTTCGTTACCAGGCCTGGAGAATCGAAGGAAGCGCAGCTTCATAGTGCAGGGTTGAGGCTTTCCTAGTTTCGCGTTTTGAGATTCGGGCTAGCACTTGGGCACTTTGGGTCTTTGGACTTCCAATGTTGCGGTACTTCAGCACCCGTGGGTTTAGACCCATTGTCGAGAAGCTCCATCCGCATGCTACCACATTCTCGTGTTCTGCCAAAGTCGGCCGCCCCTTGAACATGGTGGCCGGTACCGTGCAAAAGTCCATCCTGAAGAAGTTGAAGTGACTTCGTCCCCACTGAGACTTCCTTCAGGGAAAATGTGTCAGACAACAGACAGGCTTCGAGTATGGCAGCTCGAGGTGAGGTATGGTCGTCTTGTTGCAAAGGCAGGGTTCAACCCCGCGTCGTGAGGTTTCCAACAAGCTCCAACGACGGAGAGACAAGTTCGATAGCCGCTGTACCTGAAATGGCCGTGACCGTGGCGCCTCAAGCCGCGAACCAAGCTAGTGCTTCGAGGTCTTTGCCTGGCACGGGGTACCCGTTTGTTCACTGAGGTGGGGCGCAGTCCACCTCTATCTGCCTCTCGGCATGTGTTTTATGCTTGTCGCCGTAAGCTGGAGAGCTTGCGAAGCTGTACAGGCCGTCTACATCACGATCACCATCAAGGTCCGACACACCCAGCTCAAGCTTGCCAACGCCCGAAACTGAGACGTGATCCAACTTGGCGCGTTTTCTTCAGGCTGGTGCAGGGCAGACGGCCTACTCACGTTTGTTGGTCATCCTTCCTTACGGCTTTGTGCCTGTGGGTGCTCTGGCTCCGTGTGCCGGCTGCAAAAGAGGGGTTGTCTGCGGCAGGGGCATCCGATGCATCCAATGTGGCAATGCTTCAGGGACAATGCCCGTGCAATGGTGGAGTTGGACCTGCGCCAGATTGTGAACCCGCTGGTAGACGAGATGTCTTATCAGTTTCGGGTGTCACTTAGCTTAACTATAGCACTTCTGTCTGAGTGCAGAGGATGTGAGCTAGTGAGAGCACTCCATGCCTTCTGTCAGGTTGACGCCGCGGAGAACCAATTTGGACCCACGCTGGTTTGTTCTGGCCCGCAGTGTGACAGTGGATGAAGCTTCCTTGCAAGCAGATTCGTGCACTGCCCCAACAAACTCAAGTGCGTGTTTCCCTCAATCCTCAACACTAAGCCAGTTACGACGTAGATGGTGCTGAGTGTGTTCTACTGGGCATCTTCCACAGATCCGAACATACCCTGCAATGCAGGCTCGTCCTTGCCAAGTAAGAGGGAAGAAAAGCCAGCTACGAGAGCGAAAAACCATGGCCCTAAACCTCAAACCCCAAACCTCGCCTAAACGACCTCGTGCCATGAACCTCGCCTGGCTTGTCCGAGTTGTGAGTTGTGAGAGCGTAAACCTCGCCCGGCATGTCCGAGTTGTGAGAGCCTAAACCCCAAACCCAAGTTCAGGAAATCACCGATGTGCAGAGCGACCGAATTGTCGGCTGGGGCTCTGCTCCTGGATTCGGCGTCGAGCCTTGCTTCGTCGAAGCGAGGCCAGCTGCCAACATGATGATGATGATGATGAGGTCATTATTATTATTATTACTATTATTTTTGACTATTTTTCATAATGATCGTTCGCACGTTCTTGTTACAGTAGTTGTTGTGATGATTGTTGCTCTTGCTTTTCTTCTTCTTGGTATTTTTGTCATTTCCCGTTGTTCACCCTTATAATTGTTAGTATTGTTGTTATTGTTTTTATTACTGTTCTTATTACCACAATTATTATCATTATCGTTGTTGTTAATATTGCTGTTACTGCTCTTCTTCTCATTACTTGTCCTACTTTTAATTAGTGTTATTAGTATTGTTTCTATAATTGCTGTTACTTGTAGTGTTGTTGTTGATTGGTGTTGTTCTTATTGTTGTTGTTATTGGCTTCTTCTTCTTCTTATTTGTATTACCATGAGTTATGCTATTGTTTGTCTTATTCTTCTTGTTATTGTTATTGTTCTTGTTCTTGTTCTTGTTCTTGTTCTTGTCGTTGTCGTTGTCGTTGTCGTTTTCGTTGTCGTTGTCGTTGTCGTTGTCGTTGTTGTTGTTGTTGTTGTTGTTGCTGCTGCTGCTGCTGCAGCTGCTGCTGGTGGTGTTGTTGTTGTTGTTGTTATCGTCGTCGTCGTCGTTGTTGTCGTCGTCGTCGTTGTTGTTGTTGTTGCTGCTGTTGGCGCTGTTGTTGTCCCAGTTGCTGTTGCTGTTGCTGTTGCTGTTGCAGTTGCTGCTGCTGCTGCTGCTGCTGCTGCTCCTGCTGCTGCTGCTGCTGCTGCTGCTGCTGTTTCCGTCGTCGTTGTGGTGGAAGTGGTGCTGGTGGTGGTGGGGAGTTCTTGATGTTATTACTTTGAAACCGTTGCTGGCGGTTCTTAGCATCAATTTCGTTAATATTGTTCTGGTGTCTTCTTATTCTTCCTCTTGAAAATTTGATATATGTTGGAACGCTTCCACAGACTATGACATTATATGATTGCCATGACGCTCTTCCGCAACCGCAAACCCAACATATGATTAGTTCTGTCGCGTTTGGCAAGGTATGGTGCTCTTCCGCGGTACACGGGCTGGATGTCCTTGACGTGGAAGGCCTCCAGAACACAATGCATTTCTCTCGGCAGCGCTCTTTCGACAATATGTCAACAGACGCAGTGTCCGCTCTAGTTAGTGCTGCACAACATAAAACACATCGCACAAGCTGCAACACTCCGTGGATCAACTTGCGTTCCTGACTCTCGCCCTCAGGCTCCACAGATTGCTGGCGCCAGATATGCATTGTTCACCGCGCCCAATGAGTTTCGCGTCAGTTGTCCTCCACCGTCCCAGGCCACGGGATGAGACGTTGAAACTGAATACTAAGCTTTCTTATTTGGCTGCATGGTGGCTCGAGGCCGCACAGCCATGCGAGCCCTTTCAGCTGCCTGGCATCGTCTTCGACTTGTTGAGCTCGAATCTTTGCTGGTGCATGCTCAGGCTTTCAGAGGGGATGCCAAACACCATCACGGAGCTACCTATCACCCGTACTGTGCCCAAGCAAATTTGGACCAGAATGTGCCTGTGTGAGATGCCAATTGAGTTTGATTCGGCTTTTTGCCGATGCATTGTATTCTGCCAGAGCTGAGTTGAATGTGACGATGGCGAAAGGATGGCCTGAAGGCCAAGATTTCGTGTTTTTCATGATGCCGCTAGGCTTGATTTCGTCTTCGGGTTTGTGGCGTCGCCTATCGAGTGTGGGCTGAAGCGGCTAATGTCTTTCAACGCTTTTCGTGGGGAGGGAGTTGCGGATGGTGGGAAGCAGGACCGAGGGACGGACAGAAAAAACGGAAGCGGATGGACGCTAAGTATGAGGAAGAGACAACAAGAAGGCGCCAAAGAAAGAGAGGAAGAACGGAAGCGTGGTAGAAGTTTTGGGAGGCTGTAGGCCCTAGGCCCTAGGCACTGAATGAAAAACGTGCTGACGCTCTAAGACCTAAGACCTTACTTCAGCGAGACTATAGCCATCGGAAATCCACAAGTCGTTGAGATGTGTTCACCCGCTGCGCAGCAACGGCAACGACGACGCAACAACATCGGCAACTCTCCAGACTCGGGGTACAGCTTGTTGGGCATAGGACATCAGAGCGGATGTGCCTGAGCCTTCTCTCGAGATCGGGCCCCCGGAACTACAGGCCAGTGATGGGCGAATCTAGGCCCACTGTTGCAAGGCCCTCACAATGCTCCCTCCTTGGCATAGTCATGGGCCTTACTTGTAGTGTCCTCGTTAAGCAAGGCTTGCCCCCAGCAACGCCGCCGCGAGTCTTTCAGCATGACGGTTCCAAACGCGAGCATCAGGTTTGAGACATACTGCGTTTAGCTTTTTCAATCATAGCCGTGGCCAATTCCACGACATTGGCCCTGAGAAAGGTGAGAGCCTTTCAGTTTGTTTTTGTGGCTGATTGGTTTGCAGCTGCCGGACTGACTTCTTCGGTGAAGTAGAGAATAGTCTTTGCTCTGGAGCTTCATCTGTACTTCTCGCAGCAAGGCAAAGGAATCAGAGCATGTCCATGCCAGAAGAAGGGAAGAATGCTGCACGAAAGATATTGCAATGATGTTAAGGCTGCTCATCGAAACGCCAGCAGTCCTCACCAGTCTACAACCATGGGAACTTCGACTATTAGACCAGGCCTGACTTTTCAGTTTTTTTGTCTCTCTTGTGAGCAACCGAGCAACCATGAAGCGTTTGGTCGTAACATCGTAACAACTCCGAAAAGGTCTTCACGGTGATTGATGCGGCCCTGGAGATACCATCTCTGATGTTTGCGTACCGGACCTGCGGCATAGTTCAATTCCAACCTGTGACCTGTGAAGTTCCTGAGGCCAGACCTTCAGGCCGAGAATCCAACCCTCAGCTGGCTCACACCTCCCCAATTCGGCGAGGCGTGGCCCTCATTGGTACAACATGGAGCTTGAGCTGTGCTGCATGCGGGCCTGATTGATTCCTGAGTTTGGAACATTCCCACGCCCCACAACGGGCGAAGCATCCAACGGACACCCCGAACAGCAAGAGACAAAGCTCGAAACACGACAGACTTCGAGTGATCAGTTCGAGTCTGAGTGCGGAAGATGTGCAGGGATGAACTGGTATACCCCCAGGAAGCCAGGGAGGACACCCAACCCTAAGCCTTCGAAGATCCACCCGCACACGCGCATGCCGACCCTGCACCGTCCCGAGACAAAACAGTGCGAGTCCACCGTACACAAAGCGAGCCAGTGCTGGCAGACGAAACGCGGCGGGACATGAATGCATCGGTGTTGGTTGTCTCCTTCCTCCGCCACCCAGGCAGCTACTGCAGCTATACAGGTGCAGCTCTCAGCATGTCAGCATATGTTTGTAAGCCGAACCTTCACCAAGACCTGCGATTCCTTTTGTGCGAAAGTGAGCGAGCAGAAGCCGCCGAGATGGCCCGCCAAAAGAAAGAAGGAAGACAGAGAGTGACAGCAGGAAGGAGGAGGAGGAATGGGGAGGATGGAAAGCAGTGAGAGCTGCAGCACCATTGTAGAAAGCTCCACAGGGCCTTGTTCGAAGCTGAGTGTCAGCTGAATCGAGAGAATAAACCTAGCAGTCGCTCTTAATCATGTAAGTCTTATGTAGTCGGTGCCATCCTCAGAGACCTGCAATCAGCTGGAATTGCTTTCTCATTCCCACGACGCGGCCATGCCGTCTGGCGGCCATGTTGCCCGTTGGAGTCCAGAACATCACATGCGGGAACCTGTGTCGGAAACGACGTGTCATGACGGGAGGAACGCTCGACAGGGGGTTGTGTCAGGGGGGCCTTGCTCTCTGCTTATAAACCTTGGGGGGGCCCTGGTGGCCGGGGGGCTTCGGACGCCCCTTAAGGCCTTGTGGAACCGTCGCCGTTTTGGCCGCAAGTCCCCTGACCCTGCCCCCCTCGCTTCCACTCTTTGTGGGGACCCCCGGCAGCTTCCCGGGGCGGGGGGTGGCCCAGCGGTAGGGAGGGGCAACATGCAATCTCAAAGAGGAAGCCGAAGTCGCTCTCTTATGTGCAGGGGTTGCTTTGTGGCATTGCCCCTATCCTGTTTACAGCGCTTGCTGTGTGGTTTTGCTTCTATCTTATGTGCAGGGGTTACTGTGTGGCATTGCCCCTATCCTGTTTACAGCGCGCTTGGCTTGCTGTGTGG